GCTTCTTTCACTTAGTAGTATGCATTTAAGGTTCCTCCATGTCTTTTGGCGGCTTGATAACTCAGCTCTTTTTATTACTGAGCAATACTCCATTGTATGGATGGACTACAGTCTGTTTGTTCATTTACCTATTGAAGGGCATCTTGGTTGCTTCCGGTCTTCGGCAGTTATAAATGAAGTGGCTATTCAGATTCATGTGGACATATGTTTTTATCACATTTGGGTAAATAATCTAGATGTGTGGCTGCTGATTATCAAATGATAACCCTGTGATTAGCTTTGTAAGAAGCTGTCAGATTTTCATTCCCACCAGCAATGAACCAATGCTTCTGAGCGAACCAGCCACCCAATGTTATCTCCAAGTTCTAGAGGTTGCGCATGTCAGCAGCTCCATCACCTGTAAAAGTGTAGGGAGGGGTTCATAGAGGCTGTGGGAACAATCCTGAGATCTTGACTGCCCAGAACAAGGTTTAGAAAGGAAGAATTCATACTCTGAGGGCATGTCTTATTGGTTCCATGGATCCCTGGTACTATGGGGGAGGGCTAAGCTGAACGAGGCACTCTAAATCAAGAGGGTCAGGGAAGGTTCTGCTCAGGAACCACCATAGGGAATTTGACTTCAGATCCCACATTCCCACAGGGACATGCACATGGGGCAAATGACATTCTTCGCCATGCTGACACCTTTAGTACTGAAATAAGTACAGCAAAGGCAAGGGCTGGGGTGAAGCATGAGAGTCCTCATACCTTTGGGTGAGTGTGTGCGTCCATGTGTGTAACTGTGTGACTGTATGTGTGTGCACCCAAGGACATGTGGTCTGTGGGTCAAACAATCTATGATTTGTAACAAAGGCCATAATAAAACTACCCTGTCTGAACTCTCCTACATTCTAACCCCCAGACTATATAACAAGGTCAAAACAGTGGATTGAGACTAAATATTTGAACCCCAACATCTGAGCCTTCCAGAGCTGATTTCAGAATTGGGTTTGTTAGACTACTCCATTTCTGGGTCACTTGAACTGCTGCTTCTACAGTGAGACAGACAGAGAGGGAAGAAGGTCCATTTGGGATGGCAAATCTCAGGGCCGAGGGTCCTCTAGCCAGCCCCCTTCGAGCATAATGTCCCTCAAAAAGATTTCTCTCTGGTGACTGTGTCCAACCTCCTTGACAGATTTCTAGTTATGGGACAGCCTGCCGAATGGCTCTGTTACTTACTCACCCAGCGATCCATCTAGCAATAGAGCCATCCAACCATCCATCCTCCATTCATCTATTCAACAAATATCTATTGCACATTTACTGCATACCAAGTCCAGTGCTGGGGCGATGGCAGTGAACTGCCAGCTCATTTATCCTCCTGATGGAGCCCAAGTCTGTCTTCCTGGCTCTTTTCTTGGGGCCTCACAGTAAAGACTCACTGAGAGGTCACCAATGTACTGTGTTGGCCGTAAGTCAACTCTCCTCCCCAGCAGTGTTCCTGGGGATAAGCTGGTCAGAACTTCCTCCCAAGAAATTCCTGATGTGGTTCCAGATGCATACAGCATAATAGAAGATAGTGTGGACTTTTCTTCAATTCTGAGACCCCCAATAAGAGGCTAATGGCCTAAGGTAATACAGGGATTTCTTTCCTCCACCTGATTATAAAACAGTCAAGAAGTGAAGCTGACCTCTTCCCAATTTTAATGATTATGTCCCCATGATTAACTTTCTGATGTAGTAGGACACAAAGCACTCTGGTCAAAGAACCAGCTGCAAAAACTTGGTTCTTCTGGCCAAGTGGCCCCGAGCCCCACAGGGGAGTCTAGTTGGAACTGTATATGCTAACTGTTAACCCTTACCCTTGTGGAGTTGGGCTGGATTTTCCACTTGGGGTGCTGGGGGCAGGGCCTGGCTCTGGAGAGAAGTCAAGTCTGGTAGACAGATCCTAAGTTCAGGGGGTTGGCTGTGGACAGCAGGTGGCCTCCGTGCAGGTGACTGGCATCTGGGAGGGCTGACAGGGATCCAGCAGCAGGTGTTCCAACAGCATGCAGGGCCAAGGTGAGTAATTCAAGGCAGGTGATATTCAGAAATGCAGGCAAGTATGAGTAGGGACATCTGCCAGCTGGGAGGCATGAGGGCAGGGTGTGAACTAACTACCTGAAATGAAGAAGAACACAGGACTTGGAGTCAGAAAAGTCACTGGCTGGTGGTGTGAATTTTGTATGCCCATTAGCCTCTCTGAGCTTCAGTTATTTCTTCTGAGAAGTGAGGATTTGTTGTTGTTGTTATGTGCCGTTGAGTCGGTTCCGACCCATAGCGACCCTGTATAGGGTTTCCGAGGGTGTAAATCTTTACGGGAGTAGAAAGCCTCATCTTTCTCCCACGGTGGAGCTGGTAGTTTCGAACCGCTGACCTTAAGGTTCGCAGCCCGATTCATAACCACTACACTACCAGAGCTCCTTGAGAAGTGAGGATAATGATGTCTATTTCTCAGAGTCAGGTGGGGACCACTCCCCACTAAAAGAAATCAAGGTTCCTTGGAGTAATTGCTAAAGTACAAGATGAGCCTATTCTAGAAAGGAAGAAGGTGTCAGAGACTGATGGAATTGATCAAAAGGACATAGGTGTGGATGGGGCTCCTACTGGCTATATTTGGGATAAATGGAGACAATGAAGGTAGTGAAGATAACGGATTAGAACAGACTGAGTTCAAAAGAGCATCCATCGTAATACAGAAAAAGAGAGATGGGGCGAGGGAGGCAGGGTAGAAGAAAGGGAAAGCCTTTCTTATGGTAGGTAGAATGCCACCTGGAAAATGGAGATGGAGCTAAATCACTATTTTACAATCCTTAATATCTTAATAATCGGACTTCTGGTGTGGAGCTGTTAGATCAGCCCTGGACTGCGAACCACAAAGTTGGCAGTTCAAACGTACCAGCTTCTCCTCAGAAACCCTATACAGGGTCACTATGAGTCAGAACCGACTCGACGGTGCTTAACAACAACACCAACAATATCATAATAGATTCTGGCAAGGGTCCTGAATGAATGCTAAGCTCACTGGTGACAGGTTGTTGGGGAGCAAGATAGTCACACAGTTTCCAAGTATCACCCACAGAACTGTGCCTCCTATGATAGTAATAGGAAAGCTACAGATCCCCTATGTAGACTTTTGTCAGAATGGTTCAACTGAGTCTCATCACAAGGAAACAATCAGATAAATACAAGTTCTGGGACATTCTGTAAACTACTGGTCTAGACTCTTGAAAACAGAAAGTCTTGACTGACCAAAGTGCTGAGGTCTATTCGAGATTAAAGGAGAACAAGAAAGTGTGACAATGAGATACAACACATGATCCTTGATGGGATTCTGCTTCAGAAAAGTTACAAAACCATAAAGAACCTTTGGGGACATTTGAACATGGACTGTCTATTACTGTCTACTGCGATACCAATGTACCAATGTTAAATTTCTTGGATGTTATTATGATACTAGGTTTAGGTAGCAGAATGTCTGTTAGGTGAAGTGACAAATGATTCAGAGTGGAGAAACTCTTCCCGCGTCCCTAAGTGGTGCAAGCAGTTTGCAGTTGGCTGTTTACCTAGAGCCTGGTGGCTCAAACTCACCTAGTAGTGGACGAACAGTCTGGCGATCTGCTTTTGTAAGGATGGGTGGTGGTGGTGTGTCATCAAGTCGGTTCTGACCCATAGCGACCCGTATAGAGTGTCCTAGGCTGTAAATCTTTATGGGAGCAGAAAGCCTCATCTTTCTCCTGCGAAGAGATTGATAGATTTGAACTGCTGACCTTGCAGTGAGCAGCCCAGATCGTAATCCACTACACTACCAGGGCTCCTTTCTGTAAAGATTGTTGTTGTTGTTAAGTGCTGTTGAGTCGGTTCCGATCCCTAGCGACACTGTATAGGGTTTCCAACCTTGAGCCTCAAACCGACTTTGCGTCACAGACCAAGAAACCCATCGGAGCAGTGCTACTCTCACATTGGGGTCGATGTGAGTTGGAATGGAGTCTGGTTTTTCATTTCAGATATGTCACAGTCCCTGGGTGGTGCAAACAGTTAATGTGCTCACCTGCTAACGGAAAGGTTGGCAGTTCACATCCTCTCAGAGGGGCCTTGGAAGAAAGACACCTTTCTTTGGAAAAATCAGCCATTGAAAAATTTATGTCTACTCTGACATACAAGTGGATTTTGGTTATATAGTCCTGAATGGAACTCCTTTCTCCCTGACCCACCTCACCTAACTCTCACCACCGGGTTGGCTGTTGGCAAAAGCTTCCTTTTCCCTCTCCAGAAGTACCATGTTATGGGAGCCCAGAGTCAGTAGAGCAGCAAATAGGTACGAGACCCTCTCCTGGTGCCATGCATTCATTCCTTGTCCCACTCCTCTTTGGAGAGGCAGCAGATAACACTAGATTGGAGGCCTGGAGACTCAAGTTCAAGTCCCTGTGACCTTAGGCAAGTCCCCCCATAGCTTCCTCACCCTGGGCTACAGGGTGTCCCAGGAACCACTCAGTCATGATGTCAGTTGGAGGAAGCTGCCCTGGAATTCAGATGCTTACAGGGGTCTGGGAGTCCGGGATAGTCTGCTCACTGTGACAAGAGGTTGATATGAAAAGTGCCCTTGGATTCTCACTTCCCTACACTGGGTCCCACGCCAACCTCTGGACTAGGCAGTGTCCCCTTCTGTTGTGCATAGGGTGGCTATGAGTCAGAACAGATGCCACAGCATCTGAAACCACCACACTGGGTTCTAGACATCATTCTTGGGGAGGGAAGGGGAAAGGTGACGGAGCATGCATACGTGTGGTCTGCTCACAGGCGAATGAGAGTCTGAATGTGATGCCAGCCAGCAGTATGGTGGGTGGGGTCTGAAGTCTGGATTTGGGGCTGAGGGTTCTGAGGGGGTCAGGGGACGGGGGAGGGACCTGGGAGCTGTAGGGTAGGGGCTGCAGTTTGGTGTTCTGGAGCCCTTGGGGAAACACGAAGCCTCACCTTCTCAGGCCCACGAAAGGCTGGAGGAGACCAAGTTGGAGGCTGTGCGGGACAACAACCTGGAGCTGGTGCAGGAGATCCTGCGGGACCTGGCGCAGCTGGCGGAGCAGAGCAGTACAGCTGCCGAGCTGGCCCGCATCCTCCAGGAGCCTCACTTCCAGGTTTCTGGGAGGGATACCCCAGGCTGGGGGAGGGCTGCTCTGACCAGAAGCTGGGGTGAGAACGTGGGGATGGAGAGGGAACGGAACGTGGGGCACTGTTCCATTACCCTCCTTCCCGATACCTGTCCAGTCCCTCCTGGAGACACATGATTCTGTGGCTTCAAAGACCTATGAGACACCGCCTCCCAGCCCTGGCCTGGACCCTACCTTCAGCAACCAGCCTGTGCCCCCTGATGCCGTGCGAATGGTGGGCATCCGCAAGACGGCTGGCGAGCATCTGGTAAGAATGCCCGGAGCTGGGTGCAGTTGGTGTAACTCACAGGTTGGGAGAGGGCTGAAGGCAGAGTGATAGGAGCAGCTTTGCCATAGGGGCCGGTGCAGACCCAAGAGCCCACACTTTACACAGCATGTCTGTATGCCAGGGACCTTGCCACCCTGCCCACTAGTGCCTTCTGTAAGTGATGAAGAGACTGGGGCTGGGGGTGGATGAGGGCTTTAGGGGATCCATGAAAGACTCTTGACTTGGAGCTGCCAGGGGAGGAGGCCGCTGCTCCTAGAAAGCTGCAGCCTGGCTCATTGTACCTGCCTCCTTCATCCCTCAGGGTGTGACATTTCGTGTGGAGGGTGGTGAGCTGGTGATCGCCCGCATCCTGCACGGGGGTATGGTAGCTCAGCAAGGCCTGCTGCACGTGGGGGACATCATCAAAGAGGTGAACGGGCAGCCAGTGGGCAGCGACCCCCGAGCACTGCAGGAACTCTTGCGCAGCGCCAGTGGCAGCGTTATTCTCAAGATCCTGCCCAGCTACCAGGAGCCCCATCTGCCCCGACAGGTGGGCCCCTCTGCCTAGTCTGCCACTCAGCACGAGGGCCAAGGGGTGACTGAGCCAAATCCAGTTACCAAGGTCACAGGCGCTCACCTGTACCCGCGTAGCCGTTGTACCTGAGGGTCAAAGTGAAAGCTTTAATCACGTGTAGTGGTCCGGTGCGCAGGTGTATGCCCTGAGGGTGAGGCTGCTAGTAAAGGCCAGTCTCGTGGCTCCGCCCACTTCTCCTATTGGCTCCCAGTAGGCGTCTGCTGTCTGCCACAGCCTCTCCCGCAAGCACGGAGGGGACTAGATGTATCCGCTTGAATCCAGTCTGGTTACCCACGGGGATTGGGGGGAGAAGAGAGAGTGTTCCCGCCTCTTCAATGGGCGGGGCCAGGGACCCAGGCTAGCATCGATTTCCCACCCCTCTATCTGAGTTCTTTTGTTCTAGACCCAAACGGAGGCTGGTACCAGGGACGAGGTTGGGCAAGCCTGGAGACATTACCCATCTAGAGGGACAATGCCAAGCCCTCTTCTCTGTGAGAGGAGGGGGTAGAGGGGTGGAATATACGGCCTTCTCAGCTTTTCCCCGTGTCCTTTCTATTTTCCCCTGTGCCCAGGTGTTTGTGAAATGTCACTTTGATTATGACCCAGCCCGAGACAGCCTCATTCCCTGCAAGGAGGCGGGTCTTCGCTTCAATGCTGGGGACCTGCTTCAGATTGTCAACCAGGATGATGCCAACTGGTGGCAGGTGAGTCCTTGGCCTCCTTGTGGTCGCTCCAGGTGTGGTATGGGGGAAGTGAGAGCAGGGGGAAACTTTTGTTTTGTCCTCTGTCTGTTTCAGGCATGTCACGTCGAGGGAGGCAGTGCCGGGCTCATCCCCAGCCAGTTGCTGGAGGAGAAACGAAAAGCCTTTGTCAAGCGGGACCTGGAGCTGACACCAACCTCAGGTACAAGCCCCATCCCACCCCACCTAGACACCCCCAATCTGAGCTCTGGTGTGGCCCTGCCTGTCCTCACTTGCTCATCTCCCTATGGCCAGGGACCCTATGTGGTAGCCTTTCAGGAAAGAAGAAGAAGCGAATGATGTATCTGACTACCAAGAATGCAGGTGGGTGTCAGTCTCTCCCCTGTGCCCCCCTGCTCTAATATTGACGACGCTCTCCCCCCAATGACCATGAATATGCTCACCTTGCTTAGATGCTGCCAACTACGTTCCTAATTCCTACCCAGTCCCTCACTGCTCCCCTGCCCCTAGCCCTCTTCCCCTGGCCCAACTCAAATGATGAGCAGTACCATCTCCCTGTGTCCAGAGTTTGACCGCCATGAGCTGCTCATTTATGAAGAGGTAGCCCGCATGCCCCCGTTCCGCCGGAAAACCCTGGTGCTGATTGGGGCTCAGGGCGTGGGCCGGCGCAGCCTGAAGAACAAGCTCATCATGTGGGACCCAGATCGCTACGGCACGACGGTGCCCTGTGAGTGGGGGCTGAGTCCACTGGGGAAGGGGCCGGAAGTCCGGCCACAGTGAGGCATCCCTGCGACGGCGAGGCATCCCCATGGACAACCTGGGGTCTCACAGGGTTCTGAAGGATAGGAGTCTGGAGTGGGATGTGGGCAAGTGAGGAGGGTGCACTGGGAGGATGTGCTTAGGAGCCAGACTGCCTTGGGCCAGATTTCATCTCCACCATCTATATTAGCTGGGTGACATTAAATAAGCTGTAGAGTTTAAACTAAGGTTTAAGGGCCCTGGTGGTGAAGTGGGTAAATGCTCAGATGCGGACTGAAAGGTCCCAGCTTCCTAAAGATGAGAGAAGCTTCATGGCAGGTTTCTCTACCCTGGAGGGTCACAGTGAGTGGGAATCAAGTCTACAACAATGTTGGCGTTAGGTGCCTCAACTCGGTTCTGACTCATAGTGACTCTTTATTCTGGTTTCCAAGGAGCAGCTGGTGAGTTTGAACTTCGTGGTTGAAATTGACTTTGTGATCCAGCGCTTATCCTACAGTGCCACATTACAACAATGAATACTGTAAAATACTGCGTCCTGTAGTGTAGTGGTTACGAATCGGGCTGTGAACCTCAAGGTCAGCAGTTCGAAACTACCAGCTGTTCCATGGGAGAAAGATGAGGCTTTCTGCTCCCATAAAGATTTACAGCCTCGCAAACCCTGTCCAGGGTAATTATGAGTCGGAATCGACTCCA